CAGTTTAACTTTTGGTTCTAGCCTCCAAGGTGACCTTGGGGTCCCACCAAAGCATCGCTCTCTAGAGCAACAATCTATGCTTTTCAATTCAGTTTTAAAAGTGGAAGTTGTTTAAAATGTCTGCACAAACATCCCTATTGGTAAGTTCTCACTGCTCAGGATCCACTGTGACACAGCTGGCAGAGGTTATGTCTGTCCCAGGCCAACCTCACCCCCTTGCTGCCTGGCTGGTGTGGTTATGGGCTTGATCCTCAGTAGGGGGCGTGCAGGAGGCAGCCGATTGATGATTTTCTCTCATCATTGATGTTTCTCTCTCTCCCTTTCCCTTCCTCTCTGAATTCAATAGAAATGTTTTTTTTCTTTTTTAAAGAATCAACCAATCTATATATGTAAAAAGCCAGTGACCTTAACGGCCATAATGACTGGTCGCTATGGCCAGCGAACCGGCCTGATCAGAGAGTGGGGCAAGCCGGCCAACCTCCCGCCATCTCCTCCTCCCAACAGGCCCAGCCCCAATTCGCCACGAATGCGGCCGGGCCGGCCAGACTCCACTCGTGCACGATTTGTGCACTGGGCCTCTAGTGAATACATAAATAAGTGGAACAACAAATCAGTGTTTTTTTTTCTGTCTCCTTTCCTCTCTATAAAGTAAAAAAAAAAAGAAAAAAGAAAAAAAAAGTGTAATAGTGGCCTAGCCAGACCCTGTGCCAGGGCAAGGATACTCACCATAGCACTGGAGAGGGTCCCAAGGCCCCTGCTCTGTAGCATGCCCCCTTCCTGTTGGCTGCTTGTGAGGGGTCAATGCAGGCACACTGTTAAATCCCCAGAGTACCAAGATTCTTGCCCCTCATCCCACATGGGACAGACTCATTTTACATTCATATTCTGGACTCCTCAAGACCCCTCTGGATAGTCCTTCTAGGATTCAGCTCATCCCCAGAGCCATTTGGGGGTTCCTAGGGCCCACCTCTGCCTTCAGGCTCCTGCCCCGAGTCTGGCCAAATTGATAGCAATGCTGTGCATGTCTCTTTACCCTGGAGGTGGACGTGCCTGGCGGTGCAGCCTAAGTCACACAGCTGTGTGGCGGCCAGGTGGGGAGGCCCCTTCCCGAGGTGGTCTCCTAGATTTCTCACAACCATGGAACCTGCTTCCAGCCCCTTCACACAGCACTGGATGGCATGAGCCCAGGACAGCACTCTGTGGTTCCACCACTCTGTGGGTGGGCAGGTTTAAGACAAACGAAATGTTGGTGGAGCCTGCTCAGCATTTTGGAAGCCCTGGGAAGGCCTACTAGCTGCATCCTGACCATCAACTTATCTACAGAGGGCAGGGGCTGGGCCAAACTGCCAGCAGCCAGATACTGACGAGCCATTTGTGATTAGGTCCAGCTGCCTCTACCTTTCTAAGACCAGGTGCTTCTTTATTTTCTAAATGTGAAACAGTGGGGAACCACCAGGCCACTGGATGAGAAGATAACTCCCTCTCTCCTGATACGCAGCTGTGAGCCAAAAGTTTATGCTCCATTAGAGTTGTGGAATCCTGCAAGCTTTCCCTCTTTAATGCAAGGCAGGCTTGAATTTGGAGTGGCTCAGCTTTGAATCAGGTCAATTCCTGCCTCCAACCCCCAACCACATGTTAAGAAATACATTTTAAGTGGTGGCCCACAGCACACATACCAAAACAAAACTGTAACAAACACGTAGCTTTAAAAATGCTGGCCACATGCCCTAACCGGTTTGGCTCAGTGGATAAGGGCGTCAGCCTGCGGACACAAGGGTCCCAGGTTCGATTCCAGTCAAGGGCATGTACCTTGGTTGCAGGCACATCCCCAGTAGGGAGTGTGAAGGAGGCAGCTGATCGATGTTTCTAACTCTATCCCTCTCCCTTCCTCTCTGTAAAAAAATCAATAAAATATATTATATATATATATATATATACACACACAAAAAATGAAAGATGTGTATTATTAAAAAAAATAAAATAAAAATGCTGGCCACAACCTTCCACACTGGTTCTTGTCCTGCTAATTATTTGCTACTGGTTGTTTGCAAAACAAGGGGCTAGTCTAGTTGCTGGCTCCCGTTTTACATATAGGAAACTTGATGCTTCACTTGTTGCATCAACCTCCAGCTTTCTCTTGTCATTTTGCAAGCACCAATGGCATCACCTGACATTTGTTTAACTTTTTTTTTTATAGGCACAATTCATGCTCTTTACAGAAAACTTGCAAAAGTAAAGCCCCTCTCTCAACCCTCCCCCTGCTCCCGTGCCTGGCAGTGAAAAAACCCTTGTGGTTCCTTTCTCCCAGATCTGCAGACTCACTTCAGGACCGGAGGAGCAGCATTTTTCTGAGATGGGAATCACACAGGCACTGAGCCTTGCTTATCTGGCATCAGGCTCTCAAGTTTTCCAGAAAACCTAAGCATCAGGTTTTAAGAACTAACACTTCAACTATTTTGAAAGCAACTCTTAAAAATAAATAGCTTGAGATATAATTCACATACTAAAGTTCACCCTTTTAAAAAGTGTATAATTCAGTAGTTTTTGTATATTTCTCTAATTCTAGAATATTTTTCTTTCTGGGGTGTACTTTCTCCCCAGGTCACTCTCCAGCTGAGGGGAGGGGGGCCTTGGACAAGTCGTCCACGACCTGGGCCTGTTTCCTAGTCTGTAATATGGGGTGCCCCGACCCCGTCACGTGCGAAGCTAGGTCACGTGCACAAATGGGTGAAAAGCGCAGCCACGCCAACTAGCCCAGCGCCCCTGCCAAGCGCAGCTGTTTATTGTACTGTAATTACATTTAAGCTGTAAATAGCGTAACAATTTTATGTTAAACACACTATATCGTTTTTCCGTACTGTACTGGCTTGGTGTCCACCGGAACCGCGGTATCCCACGTAGACCCCAGGGAAGCCCTGAGACCGACCGATGCAGCAGACACCTCCAAACCCCGCGGAGAGGACCGCGCTGTGACGCGTGCGCGCGGCCGAAGCAGCCTAAGAGCACCAGCGCGTAGGCTCCTGGGCGCGTCCATTTCCCATCCCTCTCTACGTCGTTGGTTCCGCCGACGGAGGGGGCGGGGCCACGCGT